AGTGAGTGTGTGTACATGCTTCTGTGTATGTGTGTGTGTGTGTGTGTGTGAGAGAGAGAGAGAAATGGGGGGGAGCAATGCAGACAGATTCAGGGAGGGAGGGAGGGAGTTAGGGCATGGTCAGTGGGCTACCCCCTGGAGAGGAGGCAGGAGTGGTAGGGGTCATGGCAGCGTTTTGTTCCTGCAGCGGTGCTTCTCCGTAGGGGAGAATGTGTGTTTGAGGGGCCTGTCTGTCTGTCTGTTGGGCTCTGGGGCTGTGGGGCCGTGGGCCGGCGGACACACTGAGTCTGTTAAGGAAGATTTCCCTACGGCCTTGGATACAGTATAATTACACTCCCAAAGCCTACAGGGTCTGTCTCCTACACTCTCTCACATTAGACAAGCATGGAGGCTCAGAGCCTCACCCCTTCTCGCCAGATCTCAGTGAAAAATCTCTCCAGCCCTCCGCCATGTTCCTCAGCTCTTTGTGTCAGAGACTGGTGGTGGAGTGTAGATAGAGTAGTCTCATAGTCACCCAGTCACAGCACTGTAGTGTAGAGAAGTCACAGTCATGGAGGTTAAACATGGCCTGTCTGTATCCGCACCTGTTGGATCATTCACATTTTCCACATGCATTCACTGACACATCTAGAGTAGTGCATTCTTAGCCTTGCCCTCATGATTTTCATGATTCTGCTTTTCATGATTCTGTGTGGATCTGTTCAGTCATTTCAGAACTGGAGTAGGAGAAGGGTCAGAGAAGGGTCTAGGGACCAAAGTGGAATGTGGCTTTGTTAAAGATGTGCTATCTTAATTTGAACAGCAGGAAACTAATCCTGCAGCAACAGGAAATTTGAATTATTATGAGGATTATAATTAATGGACATTTTGTAGGGGTTGATAGATTTTTCGTTAGATCAAATCTGAAATGTTAAAGTGGAAACTACAAACTTTAGAAGCCTTTTTAAACCTTGAATACACTACAAGTTTGCATTTTCTGCTACGCAGGGAAGTTGTCTGCAACAACAGAGTGATCAAATTAAGATAGTACACACTGAGTGTACAAAACATTAAGAACACCTGCTCTTTCCATGACAGACTGACCAGGTGAAGCTATGATCCCTTATTGATGTCACTTGTTAAAATCACTTCAATCAGTGTAGATGAAGGGGAGGAGACAGGTTAAAGAAGGATCTTTAAGCCTTGAGACAATTGAGACATGGATTGTGTATATGTGCCATTCAGAGGGTGAATGGGCAAGACAAAATATGTAAGTGCCTTGGAATGGGATACGGTTTGTGTCAAGAACTGCAACGCTGCTCGGTTTTTCATGCTCAACAGTTTCCCGTGTGTATCAAGAATGGTCCACCACCCAAAGGACATCCAGCCAACTTGACACAACTGTGGGAAGCATTGGAGTCAATATGGGCCAGCATCCCTTTGAAATGCTTTCGACACCTTGTAGTGTCCATGCCCTGATTAATTGAGGCTGTTCTGAGGGCAAAAGGGGGGTTGCGACTCCATATTAGGAAGGTGTTCTTAATGGTACACTCAGTGTATACTATACACACACTGTATAGTCTACTGTGGTAGTTGTCCTAAATGACTAGTGAAATGGGACGGGGCCTGGTTCTACGCTACACTATGAGAGTGGTCCTTACATGAGTAGTGAAATGGGACGTGGCCTGGTTCTACACTACACTATGAGGGTGGTCCATACTGTGAGATGACCGTATGTAAGAGATGAGGCATGGGACAGTGTGGTTAATATTAGCCATGTGAAAGCCTCTCTGGGAGCATGCCTATGTTACATTACACTGCCACCTTGTCCTGGAGTGTACTGTCAGTCTAAATGTGGACCACAGTCAAGTGGCGCAGTGGTCTAAGGCACTGCATCGCAGTGCTAGCTGTGCCACTAGAGATCCTGGTTCGAATCCAGGCTCTGTCGTAGCCGGCCGTGACCGGGAGACCCATGGGGCGGCGCACAATTGGCCCAGCGTCGTCCAGGGTAGGGGAGGGAATGGCCGGCAGGGATGTTGGTAGAGCATGGTGTTTGCAATGCCAGGGTTGTGGGTTTGATTCCCGCGGGGGGCCAGTATAAAAAAAATAAAAAAATACAAATATGTATGTACTCACTAACTGTAAGTCGCTCTGGATAAGAGCGTCTGCTAAATGACTAAAATGTAAAAAATGTTAAAAGGACACTCATGATAGAATTTATTCACCAATTTGTAATTTCACTGTGGCTTAGTAGTGACAGAGAAACAAATGAATGCAGTCATGAGAGTGGTTGGTTTGGAAGGTTTGTGTTGTACATATCATATGAGAGGAAAGAGTCACTAATGAATGGTTGGTCCCTCCAAGAAGTTGAGGATAAGAGAGAGGTGTAAGAAGGCGTTGGAGAGTGGGAACAGGGCAAATTCACTTGAGACCAATTACGCCCAGGCAAGCTGTTACAACCCACAGTGTCAGTGTGTCTACTCTCTTCCACGGGACGGAAGAGTGTGAGATAAATTACTGTGGAGAATAAAAGGAAGAGGGAATAGATGGATGGAAGAAATATGAAAGAGTGAATGTAACACTAACCTTTGCTCTCTGACCATAATATGCACACACACACACACACACACACACACACACACACACACATACACATACACACAATCCATAGTCAGGCACATCTGAATGTTTTAATTAGACTGAGGGAAAGGAAAGCGCTAAGGCAGAACAGTTTGAGCGTTATCCTTCTGTGTTTGCTCAATTAAACTCTGATTGCAGCTAATTGCTTACACAGAGAGAGTGTAAAATGAGAGTATATGAGGTGGGCTGGTCTGGGCTTGCCTTCCTGACTACATGGCCGTCTCCATTTCTCATGATCCGCCTACGAAGGAAACCAAATATTTAATGATGGAGGTTGTAATTGCTTCCTCTCTGTCTCGCTCACTGTCTCTCGTCGTCGTCCTTTGCCTGGCTTTCATAAGCATAGGCAGGTGCACACTTAAACACATACAGAGCATCAGAAAGTATTCATACCCCTTGACTTATTTCACATTTTGTTGTGTTACAGCCTGAATTCAAAATTAATTACATTGTTCTGTTTTTCTCACCCATCTCCATAATGATAAAGTAAAAACATGTTTTTAGACATTTTTGCAAATATATTGAAAATGAAATACAGAAATATCTCATTTACATAAGTATTCACACCCCTGAGTCAATACATCTTAGAATCACCTTTGGCAGCGATTATAGCTGTGAGTCGTTCTGGGTAAGTCTCTAAGAGCTTTGCACACCTGGATTGTACAATATTTGCAAATTATTCTTTTTTAAATTATTCAAGCTCTGTCAAGTTGTTTGTTGATCATTGCTAGACAGCTGTTTTCAAGTCATGCCTTAGATTTTCAAGCCGATTTAAGTCAAAACTGTAACTAGGCCACTCAGGAACATTCAATGTCGTCTTGGTAAGCAACTCCAGTGTATATTTGGCCTTGTATTTTAGGTTATTATCCTGCTGAAAGGTGAATTTGTAAATAACGCCCTAGTCCTTGCCATTGACAAGCATACCCATAACATGATGCAGGCACCACCATCCTTGAAAATGTGAAGTGTGGTACTCAGTGTGTGTTGTGTTGTATTTTCCCCAAACATAACGCTTTGCATTCAGGCATGTTTTGGAATATTTGTATTCTGTACAGGCTTCCTTCTTTTCACTCTCTCATTTAGGTTAATATTTTGGAGTAACTACAATGTTGATCCGTCCTCAGTTTTCTCCTATCACAGCCATTAAACTCTGTAACTGTTTTAAAGTCACCATTGGCCTCATGGTGAAATCCTTTAGCGGTTTCTTTCCTCTCCGGCAACTGAGTTAGGAAGGACGCCTGTATCTTTGTAGTGACTAGATGTATTGATACACCACCAAAGTGTATTTAATAACTTCACCATGCTTAAAGAGATATTCAATGTCTGATTTTTTTTACCCATATACCAATAGGTTCCCTTCTTTGCGAGGCATTGGAAAACCTCCCTGGTCTTTGTGGTTGAATTTGTGTTTGAAATAATTGTATGTGTGGGGTACAGAGATGAGGTAGTCCATGCAACTTATTATTTGACTTGTTAAGCACATTTTTACTCCTGAATTTATTTAGGCTTGCTATAGCAAAAGGGTTGAATACTTATTGACTCAAGACATTTCAGCTTTTCATTTGTTATTAATTTGAAAACAAGTCTAAAAACATAATTCCACTTTGACATTATGGGGTATTGTGTGTAGGCCAGTGACACAAAATCTCATTGTAATCCATTTTAAATTCAGGCTGTAACACAACAAAATGTGGAAAAAGTCAAGGGGTATGAATGCTTTCTGAAGGCACTGTAGCCTACTCCTCTGATTAACACACACACACAACCACTCCTGTGAGATATGTTTTATATTTCCATGTCGCAGTGTGTAAATGTGCTCAATCTTTGTCATTATACCTATCCATAAATTCAGTCGAATGACTGCTATAGAGCTAATAATGGTAATGTATCTGTGCAATGCTAACTCTAAAGTACCACATTTTGCACACTTAATTCATCTTAATGGCTTTTGGAATAAGTCAGCTAAACAAATTGTGTCTTTTTCATAAATTACTTATGTCCGTACCACAGCACACACATCCAAAAGCTTTAACTTAAGAGAGAGAGAGAGAGAGATTTCCCCTCATCCCCTCCCCTTTCTCTCTTCCTCTATCTCCCTCTCTCTCTCTTTTTCTCTTTCTACAGCACAAGGAGAAGGGACGGGTCATGCCAAAATAATCTCATTCATTTGATGGGAGGCCATTTGAATTTCGCTTCAGGAAATTATTGGAGATGCTGCAGTGTGTGTGTAATGGCTGCCACAGCATCCTTATCACTTCTCCACACACCTGCTTCCCTCTGAGAGAGCGTCCCCCCTCTCGTCATGCCTCCCCATCAAAGACTGATCCAGTCTGGGCTCTAGCTCCATAACATCCCCTGGATGAGCTCCTTGGTCCCTGCAGAACAGCATGCCTGCCTGGCTGGCTCTCCCTTACTGGTCCTGGGTGTGTGTGTTCTCCAGGCAGGAGGACACTCTAGCGTCGGCCTGTACCTTTGAGGCAGCGCCCGCCCTGGACTGGTGCTTCTGGGAAAAAAGCAGGCAGGGTGGCTGGCTTGGCTGCCATATGCTGTGTGATTCTGGGAAGCAGTATTATGGCTTATGGAATAAAACTGCAGAGCTTCTGAAAGCACACATCCCGAGGCCAGTGGTTCTGGAGGAGCTAAAGCCAGTAGGATAAGGAAGGACTTTGTGTGTGTCTGTGTGGTGGGGAGGAAGGTTAGCTCAGTCATATACATCATCAAATAGGGGGAATCTCAAACTATGAGTACAGAGGAAAGCACTTTATGCTCAAAGCACGATCACACAGCTGCTTCAGAGGTCAATTGGAGGTAGTGAGAGAGAGGGGAGAAAAATTGAGGGAGGGAGGCAAGGAGGGAGGTAGTGAGAAGGAGGGGAAAAGAGGGAGGCAGGGAGAGGGAGGGTACAAGAGAGGTAAAGGAGGGATTGAATATGGACATGCATGACTCGTATTCAAACACGCAGGTGGACACTGGCACGCTAGCCAGGGCTCTGAGTGTGATTGAACTATTCACACCCGGTCTGGACCTTCGTTACCCCTGAAACACACACAAACACACACACACATGCACTTTAGATATTTATGCGCTGTGCATATAAACATGCATATACAGTATATGCTCTCTTTGTTTCTCTCTCACGTTCTCTCACTCTCTCTCTGGACTGCATACATATTAGTTATTCAGTAGATGCATCTTCAGTCTGTACTGTATAGTTCTTCTTTGTGGGAAATTATACAACGGGTGGGTCTAGTCCGAGATGCTGATTGGTTAAAACCGCATTCCAGCCGGTGTCTATTCCACAAGTTACCACCGGCTAAATCTATGACGTTGAAATTTTACTCTGTTCCATCAGAATGTGCAATCCACTGTCTCACCAGCTCAGCCAGGCAATTTATATACTAGATCTACAAAGTAAAAAGCATCTAGACATTATTTCCCATTTCTTTTAGACTAGTATTTGGTTTTCAACAGCAAAGGTTTGTAATAACCTTGCTGTCTGTCTCAACAGCATTTGCAACATTGTTTCAATATTTGATCTCCAGCTGTCCTATGGTAATGAACAGGTCGGGAGTCGGGACAAGACAGACAGGCTGGCAGCTTTTCTCAGCCAGTCAAAATCATGAATCAGCATAATTTTTATGGATATATGCAAAGAAATGTCAATAGAAAAACACGAAATGCAGCTAGTTTGCTGTCATTCCATGTTCAGTTTGAAGTGATTGTGCTAGCTGTGTAGTTGGCAATCTTTTCTGAACAGTGGCCTGGCGAGAGAGCAAATGTTCAATGCCAGGCAAAATTGCACATCATTAGCTCGTTGTTATGGATGTATAAAAAAGCACTAGAACACTACTTAAACAAACGGAAATGCAGCTACTTTGCTGTTATTCTGGCTGCACTGTTTGACGCGAATGTGTTAGCCAAAGTTGACTAGCTAGCAAGCAAGGGATAAGAACGTTGCCAGCCATCATGGCAATGGAACATTTAGAACAAACAACTGTTTTCTAAATCCATAAATGTAGAAAACAAATACTTAATGACTTGTTTCGCGTCTCTGGCATTCAAATTGATAGTTGCTTGGGTAGCAACCCTAGATTTGTATCGGGACTACACTACCGGTCAAAAGTTTTAGAACACCTACTCATTCAAGGGTTTTTCTTCATTTTTACTATTTTCTACATTGTAGAATAATAGTGAAGACATCAAAACTATGAAATAACACATATGGAATCATGTAGTAACCAAAAAATGCCAAGAGTGTGCAAAGCTGTCATCAAGGCAAAGGGTGGCTATTTGAAGAATCTCAAATATAAAATATATTTTGATTTGTGTAACACTTTGTTGGTTACTACATGATTCCATATGTGTTATTTTATGGTTTAAATGTCTTCACTATTATTCTACAATGTAGAAAATAGTAAAAATAAAGAAAAACCCTTGGATGAGAAGGTGTTCTAAAACTTTTGACTGGTAGTGTATATCTCATGGAAGGATTAAATAGTACGAATAAATTAATTCAAATAACATGTTTAATGAAAATATGTAAATCATTATTTGAATATGTTGGTAACCCGTTGTATAAAAGTGATAATGACCTCGGAACCGGTGTTTGGAGGATATATTGGCACAGTTTGCCAGCCCTTCGATACCCGTGCCAATATATCCTCCAAACACCAACTTCTCTGGCATTATCACTTAACTATTCCATGTCTGTTAAACCTATAGAGCTTCAGTTGTGAGCTGACACAGTGGTTCCAGTCTACCTCTCTCTCTCTCTCTCTCTCTCTCTCTCTCTCTCTCTCTCTCTCTCTCTCTCTCTCTCTTTCTTTTACAGCCAACCAATTAACACCATAATCCATCTACCTGTGCCTTTGCCATCAGATAAAGTAGCTCACCCCCATTCCTCCTCCTCCTCCTCCTCATCACCCTCTCTCTCCTTCTCTTCACATGGACGTGCAGACAGCTGTGCACAGTTTTAATTGACAGGATCACTCATGCTCTAGGAAGTGAACATCTCTGAATTTCTAATTAAGCAAGGCTGGGGTTGAAGTGCAGGAGAGGAGAAGGCTGGATGAATCCATCCCCCTCTTCTCTCTCTCTCTCTCTCTCTCTCTCTCTCTCTCTCTCTCTCTGTCTCTGTCTCTCTGTCTCTCTCTCCTCACTCTCTCTCTCTCATTAGTGTTATGGTCAGGTGGGGGGTGTTTATGCTAGGAAGGTCGGGAGACAGCATGAGGAGAAGGTGGGCGTTTACTGTATCTGTTTATATTGTAAGTAATGTCATCCCAATGTATTGTGGGTCTCTGTGTTGTTTACAGCATTCAGTTGGGAGTCTTGGGCAGACATGCTATAATTTCAGAATTTCTTATTTGTCTCTCCAGTTTGGTACACTCTTAGAAAAAAGGGTTCTAAAGGGGTTCTTTGGCTGTCCCCATAGGAGGACCCTTTTTGGTTCCAGGTAGAACCCTTTTGGGTTCCATGTGGAACCCTCTGTGGAAAGGGTTCTTCATAGAACCCAAAATAGTTCTACCTGGAACCAAAAGGGTTTCACCTGGAACCAAAAATGGTTCTTGAAAGGGTTCTCCTATGGGGACAACCGAAGAAACCTTTTAGGTTCTAGATAGCACCTTTTTTTCTAAGAGTGTATATAGCCTACTTTTTTTGTGTGTCAGTGTGTCTACTCTGAATGTAAATGTATACTCTGAATGTAAATGTGTCCACTCTGAATGTAAATGTGTCTTTTCTGAATGTCAATGTGTATACTCTGAATGTAAATGTGTCTACTCTGAATGTCAATGTGTCTACTCTGAATGTAAATGTGTCTACTCTGAATGTCAATGTGTCTACTCTGAATGCCAATGTGTCTACTCTGAATGTCAATGTGTCGACTCTGAATGTCAATGTGTTGACTCTGAATGTAAATGTCTACTCTGAATGTCAATGTGTCTACTCTGAATGTCAATGTGTTGACTCTGAATGTCAATGTGTCGACTCTGAATGTCAATGTGTCTACTCTGAATGTAAATGTATCTACTCTGAATGTCAATATGTATACTCTGAATGTCAATATGTCTACTCTGAATGTCAATGTATCTACTCTGAATGTCAATATGTCTACTCTGAATGTCAATGTGTCTACTTTTTTGTCTGATACCCTAGCTTACATGTCAATGGACAACTCTGCCATGCCCGTACACCCACAGTCCCACCCACAACCATAGAGCTCCATGCAGCCTGTGTGAGCTTGCAGAGGTGGATTATGAGTGCCGCCCCCTCTCTCCCTCCCTCTCCATGGTCTCTCCAGAGAGCTGCAGCTTTAATAACAGTAAGTGGATAATGTCCTAGCTCATATGAGCATTTGGATGGAGGCTTAACCGTGGCTTAGCTCCAGCCATCCAGTCACAGTGGAGGCAGGGGAGCTGGGGAATACTACTGTGTGTGAGTGTGTGCAGTCCTGTGCTACTTCATCGTCTTCCATGCCTTTCCACTTCTAACTCACTGTGTCCTAGAGCTACCATTCAGAGCAGCCCATCTCTGTCCTCCCACTGTCTCTGTGGGGTCAATCTATGGCCAGGCCAGGTTATACAGAGGACATCAGAACCGCCAGCACCGATATCGTCAGGACAGTAACAGTGATGATAATCATTATAAGCACGTCGGGTTTGCTCCAGTCATGACATGCCCCACCACTGTCTTCCTAATAGGAACAGATTAGTGAAGAGGTGATGTACACATCCATACAATGTCACTGTCTGTGTTCTAATGGAGAAACTGACAAGGTAACTCAGTCTGTACTATACACAGTGCTATTTTAAAGCAATTTTAGATCAATAAGAAATATAGGTAGTGTACTGTATGTAATATTAAATGTTAAGTACTGCACTTCCCTTGGAGAGCATGCTAAAGAAGAACCATGCAAGGCATTATTCATGTCCTGCATAGACATGTTTTTACTGGGACTAGGACCATTAAACCCTAGTCTAAGCCTAAAATGTTCTTACCAAGGATAATTTAGCTATTTGATTTTGAATTTTAGGACCCCATTACGTATAAAAATATATACACTACCGTTCAAAAGTTTGGGGTCACTTAGACATGTCCTTGTTTTCGAAAGAAAAGCAATTTTGTTGTCCATTAAAATATCATCAAATTGATCAGAAATACAGTGTAGACATTGTTAATGTTGTAAATGGCTATTGTAGCTTGATACGGCAGATTTTTATGGAATATCTACATAGGCGTACAGAGGCCCATTATCAGCAACCATCAGTCCTGTGTTCCAATGGCACGTTGTGTTTTCTAATCCAAGTTGATCATTAGAAAACCCTTTTGCAATTATGTTAGCACAGCTGAAAACTGTTGTGCTGATTAAAGAAGCAATAAAACTGGCCTTCTTGAGACTAGTTGAGTATCTGGAGCATCAGCAATTGTGGGTTCGATTACAGGCTCAAAATGTCCAGAAACAAATAACTTTCTTCTGAAACGTGTCAGTCTATTCTTGTTCTGAGAAATGAAGGCTATTCCATGTGAGAAATTGCCAAGAAACTGAAGATCTCGTATAATGCTGTGCACTACTCCCTTCACAGAACAGTGCAAACTGGCTCTAACCAGAATAGAAAGAGGAGTGGGAGGCCCCAGTTCACAACTGAGCAAGAGGACAAATACATTAGAGTGTCTAGTTTGAGAAACAGACGCCTCACAGGTCCTCAACTGGCAGCTTCATTAAATAGTAACCGCAAAACACCAGTCTCAACGTCAACAGTGAAGAGGCACTCTGGGATGCTGACCTTCTAGGCAGAGCTGCAAAGAAAAAGCAATATCTCAGACTGGCCAATACAAATAAAAGATTAAGATGGGCAAAAGAACACAGACACTGGACAGAGGAAGATTGGAAAAAAAGTGTTATGGACAGACGAATCGAAGTTTGAGGTGTTCGGATCACAAAGAATAACATTTGTGAGACGCAGACCAAATGAAAAGATGCTGGAGGAGTGCTTGATGCCATCTGTCAAGCATGGTGGAGGCAATGTGATGGTCTGGGGGTGCTTTGTTGATGGTAAAGTGGGAGATTTGTGCAGGGTAAAAGGGATATTGAAGAAGGAAGGCTATCACTCCATTTTGCAATGCCATGCCATACCCTGTGGACGGAGCCAATTTCCTCCTACAACAGGACAATGACCCAAAGCACAGCTCCAAACTATGCAATAACTATTTAGGGAAGAATCAGTCAGCTGGTATTCTGTCAATAATGGAGTGGCCAGCACAGTCACCGGATCTCAACCCTATTGAGCTGTTGTGGGAGCAGCTTGACCGTATGGTACTTAAGAAGTGCCCATCAAGCCAATCCAACTTGTGGGAGGTGCTTCAGGAAGCATGGGGTGAAATCTCTTCAGATTACCTCAAAAAATTAACAACTAGAATGCCAAAGGTCTGCAAGGCTGTAATTGCTGCAAATGGAGGATTATATGACGAAAGCAAAGTTTGAAGGACACAATTATTATTTCAATTAAAAATAACCTACATTTCCTATTAATTTTGCTATATTTCCTATTCAAACTCATTTCATGTATGTTTTCATGGAAAACAAGGACATTTCTAAGTGGCCCCAAACTTTTGAACGGTAGTGTATATAAAAAAAATATATTTGATGAAACATTGAATTTGGCCTTACTGCTATTAGCCCATAGAAACACATTGAATAACATATTCATACAGGGAAAAATGGATAATCAAAAAACAAATCAAAGGAAGTTTGTTTTGAAGTGTCTGTCCTATATCTGGTGTATACACTCAGGTGTATGCCATGGGTGGGACTGGTACCTTTTCCCCTCGCTGTCTCCATTTCCATGTTACACTTCATACCTCTACCTCTCCCTCTTTCCTCTATGCCTCCATTACTCTCTTTCTCTCTCTCTCGATCTCTCTCTCTTTCTCTCTTTCTCCCCTCTCTATCCCTCCCTCTCTCTCTATTTCTCTCTTCACCCCCCCCCCCCCCCCCCCCCCTCTCTCTCCAGATGGCCCCCTCTCTCAGAGAGTGTTGACACCAGATGTACAGCTCCAGTGTCGGCCCGGAGACCAGCTGGGCTGAGAGTGCCAGTGGTTCCGTTAATGAAAATGGCTCTACTGTGTGTGCCTGTGTGCGTGCGTGTGTGTGTGTGTTTGTGTTGTTTTCGCTGGGGAAGTGGCATGTGATGGTACTGGCAGTCTCGGTGGGTGAGGGCTTACGGAGCGGCCTACAGTGAGTTACATTGCTGCTCGTGCCAAACCCAACCAACTGCACAACCACTGAGCCCTAATGACACAGCAGCCAGACTGAACAGAATGAACGCTCTTCTCTCCACATCACACCCCCCTCAACACCTCCCTGTCTCTCATGCTCTCTCTCCCTCTCTCTTTCTGTCTCTCATGCTATCTCTCTCCCTCTCTCTTTCTGTCTCTCACATTCTCCCTCTTTTTTCTCATACATAATTACTCTTTCAATTTACTTACTTAGCAGAGATGGGCAAACATGGCTAATCACTAATGAATCTCCTGAAACAAATATAGTCCAGGGTGGAATGTGTTGTTTTCTAACCGCTGGAGGAGACATGTGTTGTTGCAGTAATGTAGCATTGGTTTAATGACTGATTATTGGTGTAAATAAGGTAGTGTCCAAGCTAATGTAATAAGGAATGTTCCACTCCGATAAAAGCTGGAAAACACAGTTGTTCACTGAAGGAGCTATGGCCACATGCTGAGCTCTGTAGTTTATACATTTGTTCTGAAACAATTGATTACTACAGCCCTTTCTCCTGATCAATTCAATTATAATAGAACAGTAGGAGGAAAACTTCCGTTGGGCTGGTGTTAATTGTAACAACCTAACTACAACATGTTGCCATGGAGAGAGACAAAGATGATATGTTTTTGTTGACACCCCTGAGGAAGTGTGTCTGACTAGATGTAATGATTCCTATTTTTTCCTTTACAAACTGACTGCTGATTGTCATTCTGACACAAAATGGTTGCCATTCATCAGCCGGGTGGTTGGAATACATTGAGCTCTTAGGGAATGTCTATCCTCATGAATCCAGCTCTCCCAGGGTCGTTACATTCTCTTTCCCTGCCAGCCGTTCACTAAGTGAGCAGAGACACAGAATGGATAGATGGCCTAGAGAAGCAGAGGCCGGTGTCTCTCCTCCGGCCCAGGGTGGGGTGAAAGAGAGGACATCCTCCGCCCTCTTCCTCTTTTGTCCTCTTCCTCTTTTGATCTCAGGCAGATCAATGAATTCCCCCTGTCTGTTACACTCTCATGTAGTGAAAAGCCTTGTGAAGGTTTGAACTGAGGTCAGGGAGAGGAGGAGAGAGAGAACAAGAGAGAGATGGAGAAAGGGAAATGTTGGTGTGAAGGTCAGTACATTGGGACTAATGCGATGAAGCAGAATAAATTAACGTTAAACTGGAAACGAGTAAAAGCCCATTGGACAGAGAATGTCTGACATGTTGCTTTCCTGCTTCTAATTTCATTCTGTCCTTTATTTATCAGAGCCAAACACTATGGCCTATACAGGGACATTCCCAGAAACTGTGTATTATTATGTGTGTAGTGAAACAAGAGACAAGAGAAATCCCTTTTCAAACAAGGGCTTCAAGTTTTCACATGGATTATATTTTACATTTATAGATGATATTATCATAGCTTCATCCAGATTATCAGATACATGATGTACAAGTACATTTTTGAAGGATGATATTTGCAGGGTGAACCATGTTCTTTGTTGTGTTGACACACGGTAAGCCACAGTATATGAGCATATCAGCCAGGACAGTATGTGTGTCAAAGAGACAACCAACATGTACGTGTTTGTGAGAGTCTCTGCTTTCGATGGTGGGGTAATTAGGTTGTAACCCAAACCGTTGGGACGCTACAGACGTTTTTGTGAGAACACCGATTTTCTGGATGTCTCCTGCTCTGACAAACACCACTCTGCCACCTTCCACCACTGATGTGGAAAGCTGGCCGACGGATGCGGTGGATTGAGACGCAGCCCATGCAAGAAAACATTTATTTGTATCTTTATCTTTAATTCTGCATTGTTGGAAAAGGACCTGTAAGTACGCATTTCACTGTTAGTCTACACATCTTGTTTACGAAGCAGGTGACAAATAAAATTTGATTTGATTTGAAAACAGATATCTCTAGCTTAAACAGTTGGATTTTAATGAGCATTTTTTTTATTATGCTAACTAGATTGACCCTTGGTCGCGTCAATTGACTCAGTCGGTCATGATTACCTTGCGATGGACCATATACAGTGCCTTCGGAAAGTATTCAGACCTCTTGACTTTTTCCATATTTTGTTACATTATAGCCTTATTCTAAAATGGATAAAATACAATAAAATCCTCAGCAATCTACACACAATACCCCATAATGACAAAGTGAAAATATGTTTTTAGAAATTTTTGCAAAGTTATAAAAATTTAAAAACAGAAATATCTTAAGGAACCTAAAGACTCTCAGACCATGAGAAACAATATTCTCTGGTCTGATGAAACCAAGATTGAACTCTTTGACCTGAATGCCAAGCGTCACGTCTGGAGAAAACCTGGCACCATCCCTACGGTGAAGCATGGTGGTGGCAGCATCGCGCTGTGGGGATGTTTTTCAGCTGCAGGGACTGGGAGACTAATCAGGATCGAGGCAAAGATGAACGGAGCAAAGTACAGAGAGATCCTTGATGAAAACCTGCTCTGGAGCGCTCAGAACCTCAGACTGGGGCGAAGGCTCACCTTCCAACAGGACAACGACCCTAAGCACACAGCCAAGACAACCCAGGAGTGGCTTCGGGACAAGTCTCTGATTGTCCTTGAGTGGCCTAGACAAAGCCCGGACTTGAACCTGATCTAACATCTCTGGAGAGACCTGAAAAAAGCTGTGCAGCAACAATCCCAATCCAACCTGACTTTAGAGGATCTGCAGAGAAGAATGGGAGAAACTCCCCAAATAGGGGTGTGCCAAACTTGTAGTGTCATACCCAAGAAGACTCGAGGCTGTAGTCACTGCCAAAGGTGCTTCAACAAAGTACAAAGTACTGAGTAAAGGGTCTGAATACTTATGTAAATGTGATATTTCAGTTTATTTCTTATTATAAGTTAACAAAAACATTCTAAAAACCTGTTTTTGCTTTGTCTTTATGGTGTATTTTGTGTAGATTGATGAGGGGGGGCGGGGGTAACAATTTAATAAATGTTAGAATAAGGCTGTAACGTAACAAAATGTGGAAAAAGTCAAGGGGTCTGAATACTTTCCAAAGGCACTGTACAAACCCATAAAAACAACTGGAATGATCTCACCAAATTGCTTAGCCCAGCAAAGCATTGGAAATAACCCTAGTGTCTGATACGTTTTGCTGCCTTGCTGGTGGGCGCTGAGGCTTGCAGTGCTATTCTAGTGAAGTTTGTGTGAGTTTTATCATTCCCCTGCTGCTGCTGCGCTGGATTAGGTTGTCTGCTGAGGACATCCAGAATGCAGCTGCCTGCCTGCTTGCCTATCTGCCTCAGCGCTGCACATCTCTAAATGTGTTTACTAAGAGCCCCAGTCAGAGGAAATGTGTTTATATGACAACTATACTCAATCATGTGTTTATCTACACTGACAGCAACACTATTTATATACCCTGACAGGCTGAAACTAAATTAGTGCTTGTTTACCTAGACCTACGGCCATGTTTACCAAGACCTGAAATCCTCTGTGTCTTTTCGGACCTGGCATGCAGACCAAGCAGGCAAGCTCTATCTGTGAGAGTAACTCAAAATATGTTTTCCAGAAAAAGGGCTAGCAGGTACTTAAGGCACCCCTGACACTACCAATATCAAATAACAAAAATGCATAATGTATGAAATTGTCAGACCGTTGAAATCCAAAAAGACACACTCACTCGCACTCTCACACACAGAGAGACCCAAGCAATCATCTGCAATGGGACAGTGTTGTCTGTGAGTGAGTTTGTTTCTACACTCTGTATCACCAATAGTAGTCCCAGTAAGAGTCAGTGTTGGGGTATTTTGTGTTCCTGGTCAGTCTGTGGGGGAGGCTGTGTATCCCATTGGGGAGCTGGAGGTCAGAAGAGAGATTCTACAAAGCTGAACCCTATTCCTCAACCTTCTTTTCCCTCTCTCTCCTTAATTCCTATCTTATTAACTGTCCCAGCTTTCCATTGTCAACTCCTGACCCCCTTTTTTAATGGTGATGTGTGTGTATTGTGTATGTGCATGCTTTATTTAGCTTTTAATTCTCCCAAAATTGGTGAAAATGTTTTCTCTCCACCAGTTTGTGTGTCTAATTAACAAGTTGTGTCTGTGTTTGTGTGCCAACATGTTGCATCTTCAGAAAAGTGAATTTGGCATTGAGCATAATAATAAGTGCCCTTGGGAAGTCAGTTGAAGTTGCCAGTCTTGCTGAGGGTCATCAGTGGGCATTGGGGTGGCGATGTGGGCACAGAGAGTTGAATGGGAAAGGGATTATAATCCAGGGGATTTAACTGCCTGCTCCATTCGGGAAGAGTGACCTGGCACTCTTTAAATCCCCTGGGTGCTTTTCTGGAAACTTGGGGATTTTGGGATATAGGGAGGTGGGCATTCTGGCAACGCAGCTTCAAGAGACAGATAATGGCTGGGGATATACTGTAATATGCTTTCATTTTCGCAGCAACTGCCTTTGACAATGGTGAGTTGCTTAGTGGAGGGCAATGCCATTCTCTTCATGGTGATGTATCCTGAATAGGCACACAAAGGTAGAAAAAATGTAATATCCTTGTTTGGGTATTATACTACACACTGACTATTATTCTAAAGAGCTCCATCCCCAAGAAAGACCAAATTTGGTTGGTCCAGACCATTCATAGACTTCATACACAAGTTTGGACATCACAGTACAGCATAATAGAGCACAGTAGAGTACAGAACATCACAGCACAGCACATAAACCATAAACGTAGTGAATACCATTAGTGTTTAATATGAGGGTTTCAGCATGAAATAGCCTTGATTTATTTTTTTACAACTTTTATTTATTTTGCTATGTTAATAATTATTTGTTGTCAATGTTTTGGCGTCAAATTGGTGGCAGTTTTGAAAAAAGTCAATAGTTGGAAGAGTTGCAGAGCTACAGTGTCTTCAGAATGTATTCAAACCCCTTGACTTATTCCACATGTTGTTACAGCCGGAATTAAAAGTGAATTAAATTGTTTTTCTTCTCACCCATCTACACACAATACCCCATAATGACAAAGTGAACATATGTTTTTAGAATTGTTTTCACATTTATTTAAAATGAAATACAGAAATATCTCATTTACATAAGTATTCACACTGCTGAGTCAATACTTTGTAGAAGCACCTTTGGCAGCGTTTACAGCTTTGAGTCTTTCTGGGTAAGTCTCTAAGAGCTTTCCACCAAAGGATTGTGCAACATTTTCCCATTATTATTTTCAAAATTCTTCAAGCTCTGTCATATTGGTTGTTGATCGTTGCTAGAAAACAATTTTCAGGTCTTGCCATAGATTTTCAAGTAGATTTAAGTCAAAACTTTAACTCGGCCACTCAGGAACATCCACTGTCTTCTTGCTAAGCAACTCCAGTTTAGATTTGACATTGTGTTTTAGGTTATTGCCCTGCTGGAAGCTGAATTCATCTCCCAGTGTCTGGTGGAAAGCAAACTGAACCAGGTTTTCCTTTAGGATTTTGCCTGTGCTTAGCTCCATTCCGTTTATTTTTTAATCCTGAAAAACTCCCCAGTCCTTAACGATTACAAGCATACCCATAACATGATGCAGCCACCACTATGCTTGAAAATAAGGAGAGTGGTACTCTGTATGTGTTGTATTGGATTTGACCCAAACATAACACTTTGTATTCAGGACAAAACGTGTATTGCTTTGCCACATCTTTTGCAGTATTACTTTACATTTTAGTCATTTAGCAGACACTCTTATCCAGATCGACTTACAGTTTAGTGAGTGCATACATTTTTCATACTGGCCCCCCGTGGGAATCAAACCCACAACCCTGGCGTTGCAAGCGCCATGCTCTACCAACTGAGCTACACAGGGCCTTCGACTTTAGTACCTTGTTGCAAACAGGATGCATGTTTTGGAATATTTTTATTCTGTACAGGCTTCCTTCTTTTCACTCTGTCAATTAGGTTAGTATTTGGAGTAACTACAATGTTGTTGATCCATCCTGAGTTTTCTCCTATCACAGCCATTAAACTCTGTAACTGTATTAAAGTCAACACTGGCCTCATGGTGAAATCCCTGACCGGTTTCCTTCCTCTCTGGCAACTGAGTTAGGAAGGATGTTTGTAGTGACTTGGTGTATTGATATACCATCCAAAGTGTTGCTAATAGCTTCACCATGCTCAAAGGGAATTCAATGTGTGCTTTTTTCATTTTTACCCATCTATTAATAGGTGCCCATCTTTGTGAGGCATTGAAAAACCTCCCTGGTCTTTGTAGTTGAATCTGTGTTTGGAATTCACTGCTCAACTGAGGGACCTTACAGATAATTGTATGTGTGGAGTACAGAGATGAGGTAGTAATTCAAAAATCATGTTAAACACTATTATTGCACACAAAGTCCATGTAACGTATTATGTGACTTGTTAAGCAAATGTTTACTCCTGAACTTTTTTAGTGTTGCCATAACAAAGGTTTCGAATACTTATTGACTCAAGACATATCAGCTTTAAATGTTTTATTAATTTGTAAAACATTCAACACAAATAATTCCACTTTGACATTATGGTGTATTGTGTGTAGGCCAGTGACAAAAAATCTCAATTTAATCTGTTTTAAATTCAGGCTGTAACACAACAAAATGTGGAAAAAGTCAAGGGGTGTGAATACTTCCTGAAGGCACTATAATTGAAAATAATGCCATTGTTGATTAGATGCTTTTTTCATTAATTAGGCCATTTTCTCTTGAACCATATAGTCTATCTACTAGAAACTCATGGACAATATGGACACAATACATGAATACTATTTATGATTATTATTATTTTTTTTTTTTAAGTATATATTGCCAAAGTTACGATAGATTGACATATATTTTCTGTTAATTACCTACATTACCCTAGATTCCGGTAACTTTGGTAAATTACCGGTAGCTTTGCAACAGTACTCATGAGGGAGAGAAATTAGAAAATATATTAAAAAATATGTGAGGTTTTGGTAACAGAATGACAAGACACTAGCCAATAGTTCTTAAACTTACAGAAGGCAAATAATTTCTGCAAAACTAAATATAAATGTTGATATTATTATGTTTTGATGAGTTTCTAATACCTTAAGACTTTTTCTAGAACATGTTTTTCAAGACCCCTTTTCCATATGTGTGACCAGAAATCAAAGCATTTGCTTATTCCTTTATTTTTAGGCTGGAAATGGTTGAAAAACGTATATTTGCCTTCATTTCCAAAAAATATAGACTAGTAGCTTTCATTTGACATCACATTTTATATGCTCCTATAAACACATTTGTGCTCATGGGTTCTTTTACATGAAATTACCTGGAGCAGACAGTGGGGCAGGGGGCATGTGATGTTAACATTTGCTGGTCTTTATATGATCAGGGTAGGCTGTTAGGAGCTTACCCTAAAGTTTAAACCAGTGAGATATTGGCTAAAGTATTATTATTATTATTATTATTATTATTATTATTAAATTCATACACTATACATCAAAGTTAACTCTGTCCTCTCTCACCTGCCAGAAAACATTCCCTCCCTCCCTGTCTGTCTGTGTGTCCCATTTGGCAGAGGCCATGTTCAGGTAATTAGGCCCTCGTTAACCAGGAGTGGTTGTTGCTGTAATTAGAATCACCACTGGGCTGCTTCTCTCACTTCTGATGACATCATGGTCACTGGAGGTGCAGGGGTTACCACGGTTATAACTACATCAGCCAAGGTGAGGTAACAAGTCCCAAACACATGCTCATCCACTGGAGGATATGGTGTGTTGTTGTGTTGTTTTTCCCTCCTTACAACTGGAAAAGTAGTAGAGATCAAAAGTCTGTCATACTGTGTTGTGTGTCTGCACTGCAGTGTGTTTATGTGTGCTAGCATCCATGTCCTTGTACTGTATGTGCCTGCCATTCATTCACTGCGTGCATCGCCATTTGACCTCCTCCTCCACGGATATGTCACATCAGTGTTGTCTTGATGCTCCTTCTTGTTCATCTCTCCAGGCAGAGGCAGCCATGCAGAGGCAGATGTAGACAGAGGCAGATGTAGACAGAGGCAGATGTAGGCAGAGGCAGATGTAGGCAGAGGCAGATGTAGGCAGAGGCAGATGTAGGCAGAGGCAGATGTAGACAGAGGCAGATGTAGGCAGAGGCAGATGTAGGCAGAGGCAGATGTAGACAGAGGCAGAGGCATGCAGAGGCAGGCATGCAGAGGCAGATAGAGGCAGATGTAGGCAGAGGCAGGCCGAGGCAGATGTAGGCAGAGGCAGAGAGAGGCAGATGTAGGCAGAGGCAGATGTAGACAGAGGCAGGGAGAGGCAGATGTAGACAGAGGCAGGGAGAGGCAGAGGCAGAGAGAGACAGAGGCAGCCTGGCTGTCACAGCAGTCATTTTAAGATGATTTAAAGGATTATTACATTGCCCACAGGGAAAAAGCCATCCCTCGCTTATTTATTTATCCTCTCTCTCTCTTTCTCTCTTTCTGCTGATGTTGAGATTTCTGTGATCAATCAGTTTATGTCAGTTATATCAGTGTTAGGACCAAAGCCTGGACACAGGCGAGGGCAAATGCAATAAAATATTTGGAAGTGTTTCACCTTGATGAAAATAAGATAAAACAACAGACAATGGAATAAAATGTGTTCAATCTCTTTGTGTGGAGAGCAAAATGAATGAGCTATATCGATAGAGAACATGTGTGTGCCTGTGTGTGGGTCTCTGGATATTGTCAGGCATGTTTTTAAGAGACAAGTGGTTCAGTCTCCAGCAGTTATGATATGAAGGTTTGGCATAGAAAGGTGTTTTCGCCTGGTCACAGACAGCTGATGTGTTGTACACTGAAGTCCACAAGTGAAGGGAAAAGGTGAGAGGAGGAGAGCACATTTACATTTACATTTTAGTCATTTAGCAGACGCTCTTATCCAGAGCGATTTACAGTTAGTGAGTGCATACATTTTCATACTGGCCCCCACATAGATGCAAGAAGAAATGAACGCGCAAAGTGATCATGCTGTTTGTATGTGGCTGCTATGAAAGTTAACTATGTTTGCGTGTGATCAGGGGTGTATTCATTCCGGCGATTCTGTTGAAAAATGTTTCTTAAACGGAAGAAAACATAACGAAACGGGATAAACATACCTGAATTTGTCCAATAGAAACTCTCGTTTGCAACTGTTGGACTAATGATTACACCCTAGATCAGCTAGATGCAGGCAAGAGTGTGCAAGGTGGTATTGAATGTGTCGCTGTCTGTCACCTTGATTACAAAAAAAATGTTTCTTGACCTGTGCACCTACGTTGTAAACTTTCATTCATAGGCTAGGTTGTAGCATCCTCATGATGATGATGTTGAAAATTTGAGTATCATGTATTAACCTAAACCTATCGATGTTACATTGAGCTGGGTGAATAGAATATGAATGACAGTCATCCAATATGCTGTAATAGAAATAAGGCCATGCTCATTTAAAAAAAACATCCTCCCTCATCTTAAACAGCACTGACCGCCACTGCTACATATATTTCAGGATGTTGTGTATCCCTGGAAATAATCAGAATTCATGGAAACATTACAGTTTTGTAAAACATAGCTTGTCCCAAAAAAGTGGTATCTTGGCACAACTTACCCCATGGGGCAAGCTGAGTCATGGGACAGGGTAAGTTAAGCCACCTACAAATGTCTGTACTGAATGAAATATTACCACTACCTTTTTAAAACCGTATCTTTCTTTATTTCCCAAAAACAATTCAACACAATCACAATTGCTTTTTGTCTTTTAATCATTTTAAGCATATTTTAACACAGGCTTAACACCTAACAAACACTTTGTACTTATTTTTACACATTTAACATAGGCCAGGTCCTGCTGTTACGTCATATCCCAGCAATAATGCCTTGCATTATGCCTGGGAAGAATACACTTCAATTTGCTCATCTTGCCATTGGCTCAACCATTAGCTCAACTTACCCAATGGCCATTGGCTCAACTTACCCAAAGGCTAAATGTTGACTATATTAGCCCACACAGCTACAAGGATGCGCTTTCATGCTAGGTTTAGGACCTCATATAGAAGCTTATAGAGACACCAACTGATGTATAGAACAATCTTTGAATGATCTACTTTGGTTTAGATACAAGCATCATGAAACCTCTAACAAAATACATTCATTTGACTTGTGGTTTCTTCCTTCACAGACTGTTCCTAAATATCTGGTCAAATTCTGAATTATGTGTATGTTTTCCTAGAAAAAAGGGAGGCTCAACATACCCCTTAGGCTCAACTTACCCCACTCTCCCCTACAATGTTCTGTCTATGGCCTTGAAGGTCATCAACATGATATGGACCATACAGGCCATGACATTACAACTGTCAACAGAATTATGGTAGCTAGTGCAACACGACAGGACTGTGCCAACTAAAATACACTTTGGATAAACAGATCTGCTGAATGACCATATTATTGTTTCATATTAGGACTTGGGGTTACAGGTTCATCCTTTGGAAATTGACTGTCATTTAATTATATATGAAAAATAAAATGTATGCACTCACTAACTGTAAGTCGCTCTGGATAAGAGTGTCTGCTAAATGACTAAAATGTAAATGTAAATGTAATTAGTTTGTTAGGTCAAGTTCAAGTTCATTATTATGCCATGAATTTGATCTTGTTAATCCCAAACTGTCAGTCCAAAGTGATTGACACCTGACAGTAAATAGTTCCCTGTGTTCATCCTATCCAGCCTGTTAGTAGAAAGTCTGGTCCCTGCTGGCCTCTTGTATGATCCAATACCACACAGGGGCCAGGGCCCCACAGATACACAGCTTGACGCGTCTCTAAAAGGGAGTGTGAGACCAGTCTATAGCCCAGTTGGCAGTGTGGTGTGGCCACTGTCCTGTCCTGTCACTTACCTGTCCCCTGAGCGAGTGGACTGTGGGCTGAGCAGGGCCAGGATTAGAGGTGCTGAGACCTCCAGCTGTGCAGGGATCAGCCAGCCTGATATTTACTGTTATTTTGCTCAGCATCCTTCACTCCATATACAGTGCCTTGGGAAAGTACTCAGACCCCTTGACTTTTTCCACATTTTATTACATTACAGACTTATTCGAAAATGGACCACCCCATAATGACAAAGCAAAAACAGGTTTTTAGAATTTAGAAATATCACATTTACATAAGTATTCAGACCCTTTACTCAGTGCTTTGTTGAAGCACCTTTGGCAGCAATTACAGCCTCGTGTCTTATTGGGTATGACGCTACAAGCTTGGCACACATGTATTTGGGGAGTTTCTCCCATCCTCTCAAGGTTGGATGGGGAGCGTCGCTACACAGGTATTTTCAGGTCTCTCCAGAGATGTTCGTTCGGGTTCAAGTCCGGGCTCTGGCTGCGCCACTCAAGGACATTCAGAGACTTGTTCCGAAGCCATTCCTGTGTTGTGTTGGCTGTGTGCTTAGGGTCGTTGTCCTGTTGGAAGGTGAACCTTTGCCCCAGTCTGAGGTCCTGAGCACTCTGGAGCAGGTTTTCATCAAGGATCTCTCTGTACTTTGCGCCATTCATCTTTCCCTCGATCGTGCCTAGTCTCCCAGTACCTGCCGCTGAAAAACATCCACCACCATGCTTCACCGTAGGGATGGTGCCAGGTTTCCTCCAGACGGGATGCTAGGCATTCAGGCCAAAGAGATCAAACTTGGTTTCATCAGACCAGCGAATCTTGTTTCTTATTGTCTGAGAGTCTTTAGTTGCCTTTTGGCAAACTCCAAGCGGGCTGTCATGTGCCTTTTACTGATGAGTGGCTTCCATCTGGCCACTCTACCATAAAGGCCTGATTGGTGGAGTGCTGCAGAGATGGTTGTCCTTCTGGAAGGTTCTCCCATCTCCACAGAGGAAGTCTGGAGCTCTGTCAGAGTGACCATCAGGATCTTGGTCACCTCCCTGACCAAGTCCCTTCTCCCCCGATTGCTCAGTTTGGCCAGGCGGCCAGCTCTAGGAAGAGTCTTGGTGGATCCAAACTTCTTCCATTTAAGAATGATGGAGGCCAATGTGTTCTTGGGGACCTTCAATGCTGCAGACATTTTTTGGTACCCTTCCCCAGATCTGTGCCTCGAAACAATCCTGTTCCAGAGCTCTACGGACAATTTCTTCGACCTCATGACTTGGTTTTTGATCTGACATGCACTGTCAACTGTGGGACCTTATATAGATAGGTGTGTGCCTTTCCAAATCATGTCCAATCAATTGAATTTACCACAGGTGGACTCAATCAAGTTGTAGAAAGATCTCAAGGACGATCAATGGAAACAGGATGCACCTGAGCTCAATTTCGAGTCTCATAGGAAAGGGTCTGAATACTTATGTACATTTTCAAAAATGTGTTTTTGGTTTGTCATTATGAGGTATTGTGTGTAGATTGATGAGGGGAAAACATTTTTTTAAATCAATTTTAGAATAAGGCCTGAATCCTTTCCGAATGCACTGTATACACTGTCCTCTGTCCTCTGAGGTTCACTTCACACAGCTCTGGTAATGACCTGCTTTATCTGTATTTACTGTAACGGTTTTCTATTACGATTGCAGTCTCAGGATGAACCCCCCAAAATTATTTAACAGACTGCTTTTGCAGAATATTTTAACTTTTACCCTTCATGGAGAGATGGATAAAGAGCTGGGGAGTGAGGGGTTTAAACAGATAGTGTGGAAGAGATGGAGGAATAGATTGTGAAAGCGGTGGCAGAACATTTTTGGAGGAGAGAGTGAGGGTTGGGGGAGAGATTAGTGCAAAGGTTTGTGAATAAATAAACAAGATGGTTTGTCAGAGGAGACAAGAGACTGCAGGCAGAACTACTGCTGCTGCTGGAAGAGACCGGGATCTCTCTGTGTGTGTGTGTGTGTGTGTGTGTGTGTGTGTGTGTGTGTGTGTGTGTGTGTGTGTGTGTGTGTGTGTGTGTGTGTGTGTGTGTGTGTGTGTGTGTGTGTGTGTGTGTGTGTGTGTGTAAGAGAGAGACAGAAGACAGAAGACTGACAGAAGATGAGGGGAAAACTGATTAAACCTGATTCCTGGAAGTCTGCCACAGAAAGGCCTCTTGTGGGATGAGCGGTTATGTTTTCATATTTTTCTGCTCTCCTTCCTCTCTCTTTCACCACTGCTTACTCTCAGCTCACTCTCAGTGCCAGCACAGACAGCTGAATGGGAAGTAATATTTGACACAGAGGCACTTTGCAACATGTTACAATAGAGTGTGCTGTGTATGTGGTATATGTGACGTGTTTGTGTGGTGTGTGTATGAGGTCTGTGTATGCAGTGTGTAGGGAGGATGGAATGTCCTCCGTCAGAGGAGACTCGTTGTGATCTCCCTCTGATGAGCTATCATCGGAAAACTTTGACTGATTCCCCATGCCTATCTGTCTATAAAACTGTCATCCATAAAGAATTGATGCCATTTGCTGAGGTGGCACTGCAGTCAGCCCTCTGATTGATAGTCCATCTTTATTTGCCCAGGTGCTCTGTGCAGGGAGGAGGGGCAGGAGATTGTTTAATGTGAGTGCCTATGCTCGCTGGGTTTTGGTAGACTGTG